GTTTTGGATGAGTAGTTAAATGGTCACACTATTTACCGAGCGCTGAGCAGGTACAGATGCCCTCTGAGTGTTCTGCAAATAACAACACACCTATACAACCACCCAGAGGATGGAATTACCTTATTTTAAAAATTAGGAATATGAGGCTCCATTTACAAATAACCTGAAATTGTTGCATTAATCGGTAAAGCCGGAGATCCTCTGCCTATCATCAAGAAACATACATAACACTCCATAGCTGCTTGAAAGCCCCTATTTGGGTAATACCAGGCTCTCTCTGCCTTTGTATTACTGCAAAAAGTGTTGGGCTTCCTTTTTGCTAAACCTTTGTGCATTTCCTTCATTATTTCCTTGGAAAGCACAAATTCCTCGTGAAATCAGCTTTCCTGGATCTCAGCTCAGCACTCTTTGAAGTACACTATGCTCGGCACCTCCTAAGGTTGCCAGCTCACTTGGGAACCCTATGGTTATGAAAAGGCAGGTAACACGAGGAAGCCATTGGGAGAGTCAGCACTCTAGAATAAAGCTGTGTCCCTGTGACTTCCAAGCAAATGAAAAGGAAATTATCCCAAAACTGCAGCTAATTCTTTATTTTTTTAAAAGATTTATTTATTCCTGCATCCAAGAACTGGGTTGTAGGCCAGAGATGGGGGGTGTGAGAAGATTCCCCAGAGATGGAGTGGGGAGCTGAACAGGCAGATCTAATGAAATACACTGCTGAGGGGAGCAGTGAGTGGGACAGGAGAGGTCTGCTGTGCCATGTGGGTCACTCCCTGGCTGGGAATAGCTTCATAGTGCTCATGTGGGTCACTCCCTGGCTGGGAATAGCTTCATAGTGCTGTGTGTTAACCCCTGCACCACCAGGGAGGGCCCTGCAGCGAATTCTTGAGAACTCATGTTTCTTTTCACGACTGACATCCATCCTGTTTTGATTCTCCCTTGTCACTTGCCATCTCCTGACCACCTCTCAGTCTGCTGACAGCCATAGTCCACAGGAAGGGGATGCAACCCTTAGGCACTCATTTTTTACATATTGATAATACTTATTCAAAAGTAAATTAATGGACTACTTGGAAAATAAGTTTACTTGGAACCTATGGACAATTTCATAAGTCACTATTTTTTAAATATATAGAAAGGCATTTCTTTAATATAAATTGAGAGTTTACAATCATCTTTAAGCATCAATGGCCCTTAAGCCAATGACCCCCAAAATTCCAAATGATCAGAGATATGTTTGGGCAAAAATTCTCATGTATTAGGTTTTTTTTAAAGATTTATTTATTTGTGCATACAGAACTGGGATCCAGGCCAGAGGCTCAGGGGTGGTGAGAGGCTTCACCAGAGACAGAGTGGGGAGCAGAACAGGAAGATCGATGAAGTACTCTGCTGAGGGGAGCAGCGGGCGGGTCAGGAGAGGTCTGCCACGCCATGTGGTCACCTCCAGGGCAGGCGGGGATCGAACTCATAAGGAAATGGCTTTAGCTTCTTAGTGCTGTGCTTTAGCCCGCTATGCCACCAGGGAGGGCCTGCATTAGTATTTTTAACATTGTGGACATTGGATGATGGTGAAAACATTATAAATGTCCTATTTTCAAACAGCAAGTTGCATTATAATAAATCAAGCTTAGATTCCACCATCAAGGTGGTTCTCCCATTAGTTCAGTTTCTGATGGATCATTTAGCTATCTGCCCATCCAGTTGTCAATGGTTACCCCTCAAAACATCCAGTGAAATGTTTGAACGTGGAAGAAATGGAAGAGGCAGAACCCACGGCACTGTCTTGAATTCCATTTGTAATTTTAGTGCAATGAGTAGACTTTGGATGTTTCTCTGTGGAAAAATTCATTTTACTTGTTAAGCTGGAAAATTTTTCCTGATAATTCAAGAGGATGACTGTGCAAAACGTCATTTTTTCACACAAGGGAAACCATTTCCAAGAAAATTATGATATTCAAAATCACCACCTGCTGAAAGTTCAGGAACTGGAATACTGGCCACTGAGATCCAGTCCGCTGGCACTCACCTTCAACTTGACCTCAAGATATTATTCTTCATGTCCACAATTATTTTGTGTGTGTATGTGTCTGCTTTTTTGTTTTGTTTTGTTTTCCTAAAGTCATTATTCTTAAGACAAATGTACAGCTTGGCAAACACTAGCAAATATCACAATACACAGTTGACAAAGAGACAACTCTTTGTGAAATTGAGTCAAAACATGTCAGCAGTGGCTTTCTGGAATGCTATTTGTACGTGAAAGATCCTTTAATTTCACCATCTTACCAAGTCTTTCATTTGCATGGAAAAAGAATTCTCCCAAGTGGATAGCCAGAGATTTTCCTAAAAAAGTTTCCTCTAAACCCAGTTTAATTTCATCTGTTTCAGGAAGACGTCATTAATTCTCCAGCCTGAGCTGTATATGTGTAGTAGGAACTGAGATTTGACTTTTATATATGATGCAGAAAATAGATACTGAGTACCCACCTGTGTGGGGCCCTGTGTTAAATGTACATAACAGAAAAAACATTTCATACTCTTCAATCTTCAGTAAAAAAACTATACCTTGGGGATCGCCTTGGTAGCCTAGAGGCTCAGTATCATTGCTATCACCACTGAGTTTGATCCCCAGCCAGGGAGCTGACCCATATGTGATGCAGCAGACCTCTCCTGTTTCCCCGCCGCTGTTCCCCGCAGCAGTGTATTTCAGTAAATCCTGTCTGTTCTGCTCCCCACTCTGTGTCTGGTGAATCCTCTCACCCTCCTCACCTCTGGCCTATACTCCAGCTCTACAATCACAAACATACACACATGCACACACAGTGTAGCGTCTAGCAAACACACTTACGGCCTAAGGAAAAAATAAATAAAAACGTCTGCTGATTCAGTTTGACAGCACATTCTCTTCTGACTCCTAATTTGACTGGAAAGTCGTCTTCCATTTTCTATCTGTGCTCTTTATTCTTTTTGTTGAAATTAGAATGACTATATGTATATGTTGGAAAACATCCAATTGCAAACAAAAGAGACCCTATGAAAATGAGTTAAACTTTGAGACACATAACTTGATATATTTAAAACAAAAGCCTCCTTTATTTCAAAAGGAAAAAACCAAGCCAGCCCACACCCAGTTATTGCAGGCATTCTCCATCAACGGATATTATATTAAAATTTTCTGCTCTATTAAAAAGATCTACCTATCCTGAAAGTCGGTGAACAATTTGAATGTAAGGATCCCGCTTATTAAGATTTAAAATTCTGAGCTATCACATAGCAGGGCTTTACTCCATGTTTGCTGAAATATGCCTTCATTGGTCCTTAAGAGACAGTGAATTGTGTAACCACCTCAATGACTTAGTAGCAGTTTTACATGGAAGGAAAAAGAGTCATGACATTTGTACACTACATTTGTAAATAGCAATTATACAACACATCCTGATCTCAAGAAAGTTAAAAATTGTAAAGTATGCCTCAGAATGGAGGAAATCCTGTCATTGTCCATTACCAGCTTTCTAGTCTCCAACACAGAATGGACTCTTGCCTCCCTCATGGCCATGAAAATTTGTTAGTTATTGGCCCTATTGACTCAAATCCTGTTCTTCCTACAGTGCATTTGTTGAGACTTCTGAGAGTCTCCAGATATTTGCTGTGGCTTTCTTGGATTTATTTTTTCCTTGTATTAAGTCCTCTCTTTGAAATTCTATAGAAATCTATAGCTTCAGTTTTCCAAGGGAGTCCACTTCCCCTAACTATAGATAGGATCCTGTATTGTTGTCTGAACAAAGTTGAATATTTTTGTGAAAACCTGTGTTTTGCCTGCTATAAATTGTAAGGATTTCTCCATAGTGAGCTCTTTAATAAAGATTTATTTTATTTATACACATAAGAACTAGGGGGCAGGCCAGAGGTGTGGGTTTGGGGTTGGTGGTGAGAGGACTCACCAGAGACAGAGTGGAGAGCAGAATAGGCGGATCTACTGAAAAACACTGCAGAGGGGAGACAGAAGAGGTCTGCTGCCATGTGGGGGTCAGCTCCCTGCCAGGTATCCAACTCAGGCCATAGCAGTGATCGTGCTGAGACTTCATCCCTAGGCCACCAGGGAGGCCCCAGTTCTCTGTGCTTCTAAATATAGGTAGGATATGCCTTCTAAGCTGTAGAAACCGTGTGGTGAGGTCTTCCATTTTCCCAGAATTATGTTATAGTAATTAAAAGGCTCTTATGGTATTTGAGTTCTACTATCTTGTTAGGGCAGCATATTGCAGTAATACAACAGAAAGAGACTATAAACTCTATCAATTTGTCCACGCTAATATCTGACCCTCCAACAATTAAAAGTGAGATGCAAAAGGCTCTAGAATCCCTCATCTCCCAAAACCTACAGGTAATGAAGACATTATTGAATTTGCAATCTTGTAAGAGCTATGCTGAATAAGCTCTTGCCTCTTAGATATATGAATTATATATTACATCTAGGTGACAAGCCTAGGTTTTGCTCTTTTCCCATAATTGAGCATACCTAGAGTGAGACATGTTTAATTTAGATTAGAGGCTGTCTTAAGGTAGCATGAATGCAAGACATTATGTGACTCCAATAGGATTATGTTTATTAACCAAGCTCACCCATTATGAGGGTTTCTAGGCCAACAGCATGAACTAGATTTTCTTTTTCAGCCAAAAAACAATACTGTTGGTTTTTTCTAGAGAGGATTATATAGACAGTTAAAGCTAACATACTTGTCCAGTTGTTATTGTTAATAGCTGCAAGCTTGGCTATGTTTTTATTTTTACAGTTGCTTTACTCCCTACTTCAATTAAAATCTAGTTGAGAGTGAAGAGTTAAAGTTTTATGTGCTTATTAGGAATAAAATTTCACACCTTCACAAGGGAACTACAAGAAATAAAGTGGTGATGAAAGTTAAAAAATGTAGCCCTGTTACTAATTTAGGAAGTAAGGAAACATATCAGTTAATTGATTATTTAAAAATGTAGCAGTATGTACTTACCATGGGTTTTGGTATCTGTGGCTGATTCGGGCAACGGCATCGTGGCCTGGTTCTGCATACTGTAAGAAGAGAGAATTAATGTTCCCTACATACAAGTAAATAGACAGCAACATGTCTAAAGTCTGTGTTCCCTCAAAAAAATTCAATTTGGGAAATTAAATAGGATGTGCAAATGCAGTTAAAAGAAGTTGTTCTTTGGATGAGCTGAGAGAAAAAAAAGGCAATAAATAAATATGACCCATTGGATTTACTGTTTTCTTCTAGCAAGAGACAGGTAGAAAAAGTGTAGCTCCTAACATTTATGCTCCAGGCTTTATGATTCTATGTTCAAACAAGCAGACAGTTGAGTGATTGTTGTTGAGACTCAGTAGTTTAGTTCTTTTCCTTTTACTGGATTGTCATGGAAGTGGAACATGATGACAGTAACACGGGAAAGAGCTGGGATAGAAACATTCTGGTAGGAGTCGATCTGAAAACTTAGTTCAGAGAACATAATTTAGAACATGGGTAAAATATTTGATAGCTTAGACTCAGTTCCCATGTAAGGAAATAATCCCCACCTCCACCTCCCCCAGTCATGTGCATTGAAATGATCTGTTATTCCTAAATATGTGAGTACTGAGTACTTAATAGGTGACCAGCACCTTTCCCCATGCAGCACCCGCCTCCCTCCATCCCCACCCCCCAGGATGACACAACTTGAGAATAAGCATCGAGCTTGGGCTTGTCAAATTTACATTGGAAACAGCCTGAGTCTATCATCATTTGTCAATGGGAAACAGTGATACTGATGATCAGAAAAGTTTGAGTGCATTTCCACTGGAACTGAGGAGGGATGCTAAGAGATTTTGAGATTCATAACATCTCAAAAAGTAGCAAAATCATACTAGTTTCAATATCAGTGAACTTACTTTGTTTTTATCTTCTTTTACTCTCAAATTTTGGTTTACAATGACTTTCCTGATTAGTTGCTTCAGTTACTTGTGCTGGGAAAGTAGTTCTATACATAATGGAAAGATTGGGTACAGCTTGCTCAGTTGATTTATGACATGAGTCCCTAAAGACTGACCTTATAGTAGACATATGGGTATTTATAATATCAGATTTAGGGCCATTTTCCCAGGTGCTGAACATTCTTTGACCTTTGTTCTCATTTTTAATAACCAAAAATTACATCATCTTAATAGGAAAAAATTTTTTAGAAATAAAACAAGTTATTCCCCTCCTTTCTCCTATAGCTATCTGTGTAAAATACATATAAAAAAAATTGTTATCTAAAACAATCTGACCTTTTTCTATTTTGTTAATGAAATTCATTATGATCTATTCAAATAGTTATGCTTGCTGTAGTGTTAAATCGAATGAGATTCAGAATGAAGTTTTGGGTTTTATTTAAATGGACATTTGTTCCTAAGAGTAAGGATGACTGATTCAAAACCTTATACAACGTCTTCCTGGAAACAGGTAAGAACTGGTTAGTATATTTTCTGTTTTAAGATAATCGTCAGAATCTTTTATCCTAATTTTGAATGTTTTCAATTTGTGAAATACCCAAATCAACTATTCCAATTAAGCAAACTTTAAACAGGTCTAGGCATCAATAAAAGGGAAATACCTTCCAACTACAGTCAGATACACTAGGCACAATTTGTGAAATTAGTTAGAAATAGCTAAATTTGAGTTAAGGTAATTACAGACATTTCGGGTCACTTCTAGTTGACAATGAAAATCATTACTCAATACTTTAACACCAAACAATTCTTGTCTAGTTCTGACATAGATGGGAAATCTTTTGGAGATTGATCACTGAAGAATTCTCTTGCTTTGTTATAGTTCACCCAGGATTTTTTCTTAATAAATCCAGTTTTGACTTTCTTACGAGAAAGAACCATTTTCCATCTCTGTGACTATGAGGCCTTTCTCTAGAGTGAACACAATGGCAATGCATTTCAAGAATGCTTAGACAGTAGGGTTTCTCTTCTCTAGCCTCTCCTTGGTAACATAGAGCTCTTAGTACCAAACATTTGAGTGGAAAATTCCCTAAGGCTACCTTTTCTTATGCTAATGTATTTTTTTCTTCACTTGCCTCAATTTGCAAAATATTACTGTTAACCCCTTAGGTGTCTGTCTTCCCACGACCAGTGAGAAGCATTCCCATTGTTATAGCTGGAACACCAAATCACATAATGCTGCCTATTCTAGATGGGACTATGGGAGGAGAAAGGGGGCATAAAGGCTTTTGTGCAAATGGAGCATTTGAACTATTCATTATACATTCAGGGCCTGAGTAGAAACAAACAATTCTTTCTGAAAAAAATGTTTCAGGCATGGATTCTCTGATAATTTTTTTTCTTATTAAATAACAAAATGTAGATAATGCAGAGCTCCATTCTTCATTTTATGCCACATAATATATGGAGTTAGGTACTAATCTGAATTGTATCCTGATTTTTTTTAACAGCAGAGTTTTTGTTAATTTGAGTTCGTAAATCAACTTTTGTCAAATAGACTAAACACTGGCTTTTGTGAGTTTTTGGCTGTGGCACCAGCATCTCTGTTTTCTGTGGAATAGTCAAATGGGCAACCTAGCTTATCACATTTCTAATGTTTCTACTATTTTGGGATAGAAGAAATGCTGTGTAGACAGGAAAACATAGTGGATATAAACATAGATCATGTTTGATTCTATTTATTGAGACTTTAAATACTAGCTAAATCCTTTATGTATACAAATCTCTCTTAACCCATTTAACAATATTGTAAGGTAGAATTCTGAGATTCCCGTTTCAGAGTCCTACTCCAATACTAATCTAGTTACTGCTGTGAAGGGGTTTTGCAGATGTAATTAAGGTCCCAAGTCAGTGAACTTTAAGAATGAGAGGTTATTCCCCTTGGGCCTAACTTAATCAGGTAAGTTTCTCTGTTGCTGGTTTTAATGGCAAAAGACCAAAAAGAAAGGGATATGGCTGCTTCCAGAGGCTGAGATTGTCCCCTTGCTAAAAGCCAGCGAAGAAATGGGACACTTGCCCTGTAACACTCCAACCACAGGAATTGAAACTGTGACAGGCACTGGGAAGAGACCTCAAGCCTCAGCCAGAATGACACTATCACAGTAGGTACTTGTGAGAGACCAGTGTACCTATTCACTGCCTGGCAGTTTTCTGGCCTGCAGAGAAGGATGTTGTTCTAAGAAGCAAAATGTGTAGCTAGTTACTGGCCAATAAGAAAACTAAACCCATCCCCATTTGATAGGTGGGAAATCTGGGATGTTATAAATCAAAAATCTAGACAGATTAGCAAGCAAAGAGCAAAAAGGGATAAAATGACAATTTTTTTAACTGGATACTTTCATTTGCAATCACATTTTTTATTGAAGCTACAAGTAATTTTCATTAAAGCTGAAAAGTATTTATTGCATAATTCAAAATATTCCAGGCTATTTCTTTTAAAGCAAGACTACAGTTTGTTGGGAATTGTTAGATGGTGTGGTGAATAACCAGTTATCCCAGCACCACCAGCCTTTCATCCAGAGTTGATTTGAAATCTGAGCAGATTCAACTACTCAGGCTATGGAAAAGCGATCAAAACCTTCCCCAAACTCTTTGTTATCAGAGCACAGCTTCTGAAATATAATCAAGTGCCTATTTTGCCGTCATTCTCACCCTTGGAATTTTCTAATGTGGTTGGCACCATTGTTAATTCAAAGTTTAAAAAGTGTGCTTCTCCCAAGTTAATTGTCCAATTAGCTTTAAAACACAGAATTACACAAGGGGAGGTAATTCTGGCATTGTGAACAGTAACTGTTTCGGTAAAAATATAAATGGTATAGTTCTCAAATGACATTACTGAACAAGTGAGGAGCAGAATAATGTCAAGTTAATGCGTGCTTAAAAATTCATCTCTCCCCTTCTACAACTTAGTCTTCCAGCAAAGACCCTGCGTGAGTAAGGAAGCAATTTCAGTCTCCATCTCTCCTTTTCAATTGATGATCATCTACCCTATGCTAAGCTCTGTGAGTGGTGGCTGACATCAGTACAAATTCAAAACAGAGCTGAGACCTCACGTTGCTCAAGGCCATTTGGAATGTGCGGGAATTATACAGTCCAATTGCAGATCATAATTGCACTAAAAACCCCACAAGAACACAAAGGAACTTGCTATCAATTCTTCCCCCATCTTAAGGAGCTCACAGTGGATTCCTCTAGCATTTTTTTTTCCAGTGTCTTTTTTTTTTTTTTTGCACCTTGAGACATATTGGGGACCACATCACAGTGACCCCTAAATTTAATGAATTGCTTTCAACTTGCTCATTTAAGATTTCTTGTTATGTTAGATTCAATCCTGGGGAAACAAATTTCTTCTGATTGCTGGTGTGATTTGCTATACATTCTACAGATTTCTTTTATACTTGAGCACATCTGAAGTACTTTGGGAGTATTGTAGGGAAAACTATAGTCTACATATATAAGGATTTAAGAATTTCTCCCAAAGTTCTAAAAATACCAGATTCAGAAAACAGATGTCCTGGTATTTGAACCACCTGTGCTTGGTGTAGACCAGGCACAAGTTTCAAAATTCTTTGACAACATACAGGAAGGACTCTGGCTGTGCAGTCAGCCTCAGGTTCACTAGCGCTCACTCTAATTTATACAGTCCTTTTCTTAGCTTTATGTGGCCCTATCAAATGATATTTGTTGCAAATCCATGGCATATGCTTAATTACTAACTTTAAGAAGTGTAATTTAAGAAAAATGTTTACATTTAGACACATCCTCAAGATGTTAAGTCCTACAAAATAGTAACCTCCATGGTGTATTTTTAGCTTCCCTTAGTTAAAGGATAAAATCATCCACTGGACTCTATAAACTATATTGAACTCCTTTCTTTTTCACAACCTAACAAAAGATGTGAAGATTTGGGGTGTCCCCCCTCCACTCGCCATTCATGGTCTACAAAGTCACCTCAACAAGAGAGAAAAAGCTCTGTGTTACTGGAGGGGGCGGTCGCTGTGGGGGTTGCACATGATGTGTGAAATGGCAGTAGTGTCCCTGGCAGCCAACGAAGATGCTGCGCGTCCCACTCGTCATTTTGCAAAGAACTGCTTGACAGAGTTGGGGAGGGCCTGTCAGTATTTCCACTGTTGTGGGAACACTATGTCCTGAACGAACTCCACTTATTGAGGTGCTAACCTTCCCTCTCTCCCTGTGGGAGATCCTGCAGGTGATCGATCTCAGGCACCCAGGACTACAACTCTCATCATGCCACGAATCTGCTATGACTTGACTTCCTGAAGGGGGTTGTTGGGAACTAAATAAAGGTGGAGTCCATCACCCACGCTTGGTGTAAAATGCAAGACAGCTGAGCTTGCTCTTGGTTTTGCTGGCTTTCAGTACGCCTGGGTGGTTCCAGCTCAGATAGCTTTAGCGCAGGATGTGTTGACCAATGCTGTCTCTCCTTGGTCTCCCTTTTGTCATTTCTCTCACAAATAAAACTTTTTATTAATGTATCCCTGTATGCCCGCCCTTGAGTCTTATCCAGAGATCTTCTGCACATGGGTAAGGACTCACACCCAGGTTAGCTGTAACTAGCGACTCTGATGTTTTCATGGTCTGTTAGGGAAAGGAAGCATCAAAAAGAAAATTTTATTTTGCGGAATTCAGAGACAAGATTTTGTCAGGAAATGACATTCAATTTATTTGTGAAACGCTGTAAAATAGTGTAAAATAGGGGAAACATAACCTATGTAAGGAAAATAATGGGGTTAATATGTTACTTAAAGAAAAAGAAGCATCATTGGCCTCCTTAGCCACTGTTTCTTCTCCCTCACAAATGGTCAACATGTTCATTCTTACTACAAAGACTCATAGTATCAGAAAATGCATCACTTCATATAGCACTTAAGAATGGAAGGTGTTAATATTTTTATATTAAACCACAAACTGTTAGGATGTGTTTTAATAACTCTAAGAAGTATAAAGTGAGAACTAAAGATATCCCCGTCCGGGAAAGAAAGGTATGTCTAATTTTAACAAAACTATTTACTATTTTGCTTTCATAACTCAATTGGAAAAGGTTCTATTACCTTTTAAAAATCTTGTTTATTGATAACATCTGGAGATGAAGCGCGTGAGAGCTTTGAATTTTTAGTAAATCCCCAAATTGTAACTGATCTGTCCAAATGAACCCAAAATGAAATAAAAAAGTTGGCGTGGAATAAAAAACAACAGGAAATCTACAACATGTGATGAGGGGCCTGCATCCCGATCAACACCACACTGGCAATACTTTTTTCCCCAGGTGATTAGGGAAGATGCTAATATGTGAGCGTGGTCAGTTGGGAAGAGGACCAGGTCAGGCTGAGGCAAAGAGAGAGGGTGCTGGTTGTTGGGACCTAACTGACTGCTTTTTCTCCCCCATGATTCCAAGGATTATATTTGGCATACACAATTATATTTGGCAAACATTAAAAAGTGCTTGTTAAATGAAAATCCAACATTACTAAGCTATTAGATATCAATGTATAATTCATTTTAATATTAAATACTCATATTTCTAGTAATTCATTTTAAAATAGATGAAGTACATTGCATTCAAATGATGCCTAATGGGAAGATGGGAGAAAATTGAGAAAACCATATAAGGGAAAGTGTCTTAATTGACCCCAGTCAGACCCTGCCCTACAGAAAACTGATAACAGATGTGTACTTCACACTATAGCTCCAGTCTAATGTTCTTATTTAATTTTCTCTTTCACATCCTGTGCTTACTAAACCCTTGAGTTCATGTGGCCTGGGCTGAAATTCTGACTATTTTTTACTAACTGTGTAGCTTCAGGCATGAAGCCTCAGTTCTCAATACTTTCTATAAAATAGACAAGGAAATAACCATTATTTTATAAAGTACATACAGTCTGGCAGGTCCACTTTAAAAATTTAGTACCTTAAATCTGAGCTAAAAACAAATGTGATCTTTACTGGTTTACATACAAATGTAATTTTATGACATTGTGCTCCACATGAGGTGAGTAAGAAATAGTTAAATATCAAAAGATCCAGAAGAGATATCTGATAATATGATATTTACTGCTCTCTAGGATGTGGGGATGGTTTTTGGATGTCAGTCAGCCTGGAAGTTACTATCTTTCCACCAAAATCCAGATGATTTATTGAAGCCTTCCTAGGGCCACAAGTGGGAGAGACCCTCCCAAGGAGACAGCAGTAGCCCAGCTATTTTACCAAGGTTCTGTTGAATTTGAGCTTCCTTTACTGCCTCTTTTTCAGACCTGGAGCAGCTGTTCAGACTCACAGTGTAGTAAATGTAAGTTTAGTCTTGAAAGTCAGCCTGAGAGACACAGAGGAGTTGCTGAAGTTAGACTGAGATGAAGAAACACCATGTTGTTTTAGACTATTATGGAAAAGCGAGGTTCAGGAGTGTGGAATAGCTCCATTAAAGACAAGGAGTCACAGAAAGAACAGGATGTAGATGGGCGTATTTCCCAAAGTTGTAGCACACTAAGGAATTTACCAGTTCCTCAGTCTGGAGAGGTGTGAGTTAATGCCACCCCTTGTTGAAGGATCTTGTCTTAATGCAGAGTGCATGTAGAAGTCAAGTGTCAACTCACTCAAGTCTTATCGGTCAAAGTAGCTGCCTCAATCATGGGATTGGTAAGGAATCCAAGTCTAGACTCATAAACATATTGCCCCTTGCCTTGGCTGTAGAGAGAGAACCACCGTGGGTGTGGAAGGAAGAGTAACAGCTTCAGCAAAAAAGCTGAGGTCTTGACTCATGGGTGAACTTATTTGGTTTGCCATTAATGTATGTAATCTTTTGTTCTCAAGACAAAGTTCTAAACTGAAGTAATCCTTTAGGGTATTGTGTAAGATTATCTGAGACATCTTGGTCCTTAGGACAAGTGTCAAAATGAGAATCCCTTCCAGCATGAGCACAACAAGAACAGTTTCTGAATGTGTCACAGGTTGTAGAGTTCACATTCAATCCCACGGGCATCAAGTCAACAGGGGGTGGCAGTGATGTAAAGTCAACATGAACAAAAGAAATGCAAGAAACACTTTTCTAGAAAGCTAGTCTGTGGTTGACATGTCTTGGACTCCCAGCCTTCTCTAAAGGCCAAAGACTGCTGGACTGAACTTCACTTGAGCAGACAAAAGTGTTCTCAAGAGAAAGATGAAGAGAGCTGTAGACACTCTAGATGAGTAGTAGACAGATTGAGGGCTGTGTGCAAAAGCTGGACACCGCTCTCCCCTCAAGGCAAGCTACAAGATAACAAAAGTTGCCTTGTTTTGGACACTGTTCTAACCAGCTGCCTGTTTTGGGTCATATTCTTGCAGGTGGCATGTTTTTATATTACCTTCCTAGTCTTGATCTTCATTGCCCATGGGGCCAGGAGGCAGTTTAAGAACCTGCACACTCAGTCTGCTTAACTGACAGAGTTAACACTAGCTACCACAGTGTTCTCCTAAGAAGTAGCAGCAGCTGCTCCAGCCAGAGGGCCGGTAAGCTGACATCTGGAAGTCAGCCATGTGCCAGGCTTTGTGCTTCCTGCATTCCTGTGTCCTGCATTAGATCCTCACTATGTAACAGTAATAATGTTAAATACATAGAGTGCTTGATACATGTCAGGTCCCGATCCCAGCACTTTACAAATATTAGCATGTTTGATGTTTACAACAACCTGATAAGGTAAATATTAAGATTCATAATTCAGGAAACTGAAATGCAGAGTTGAAGCCACTTGTCCAAGAGGACTTAGGTAGTAGGTGACAGAACTAGGATAGGAATTCAGGTGACTGATAATAATGGGCGTTGTAATCACTGTTATGTGAAGGAGGCCACGGAGGGGCACACAGAGATGACCTCACCAGCCCAAGGTCACAGAGTTAGACCTAATTCAGAGTCAGGGTTTTTGGCTTGTTTTTAAATAGATTTTTTACTTGATATATTTCTTTTAACTTCATTTCTATGTCCTGAAGTCTTGAGTATTTTTTTTTTTTAATATTTCTTTAGCATACAGAGCTGGGGTATAGGGCAGAGGTGCGGGCGGTAAGAAGAGTCTCCAGAAGAGAGAGTGGGGAACAGAACAGGCAGATGTACTGAAACACATGGCTGAGAGGACCAGCGGCCGGTCAGGAAAGGTCTACCAAGCCATGTGGGTCAGCTCCCTGGCCAGGGTCTGAACTTGCGCTGCAGTGGCTGTGGAGGGCTTTTCAGCGCTGCACTTTAAACCCTTGCACCACCAGGGAGGGTCCCGAGTCAGGATTTGAACACAGATGATCTGACTTCAAAGTCTGAACTAGCCACTTTCCTATATTATCCTAGATTGGACTGCAAAATGGCTTTTCTTTTTTCCTTTGTTAACTACCTTAGGAAACTGTAGTACATTGCCTAAGAATTTGAGGAAATCTAGTTATTGCATAACTGATACATGGTTAATTTTTTTTTGATACATGGTTAATTTTTAAATAACACAGGAACCTTCTAGAGGAGAAAAGGCATTTTCAGATTTCAGTTCTAAAATTACCTGCACTCCCGTCTGTTGCAGAGGAAACTATGAGGTCATATCTGCAGCCTCCTCACCAGAAAAAAGTAGGGCAAGCTTTGGAAGAACCCTCTGCCTGCATATAGGATTATCTAATTCGAAAGCATCATCAACACACTGGACTTTAAAGATTCAGGACTCATTTTTTAGCTCTGTGGTTATGTCTAGCCCAGCTTCTTGGTTTACACCACCCACTCGTCAAGCAGGGCCAGCCGGGGGAAGTGAGTGAGAATGTCTCCGCATAAATGTGAGTCTGAGAGCATTCCAAAGCCAGACACAAATGCATATGCATTACCCGGGTCTTCATTTTCTTCACACCTCTCCACTCGTGTATTAAAGGCACTAAAAGGGAAGAATGGTGGCAGCCAGGACATTTGCTCACACATTTTCCTTTCCGCATGATTTAAATCCCATTATTTCTCAGTTACAGGTCAAGAACATGGCATTTACTATGGAGGCAAACTCAAAGACTTCAGAAGCATACATTTAAGAGCAATACCTTGATGTGAAAGCCACTCTCTCGCCTTGTTTTGTTGATAAAATCAAACATTGGGATTCCCCAACCAATTCCACCAACATACTCGTGTTTATATTTTGCTGGCAAGCTTCTCCCGGAGGCAGGCCGCCATAAGTATCTGAGATCTCCAGTTTTTTCTAATGCTGGACGCTTTTCTCCTATGTAGCCTGTGTGCTGATGAACTCTGGGTAGATAATCATTTATGTAATCTGGGCCTTCAAAAGACAAAAAGAACAACAACAAAGCAATACTTTAAACATCTCCCCCATGAAGATGCTTTTATCATTCTCTATGTGGAAATTATAACAAATGGCTGTATGGCATTTCCTGTGTTCCACGAAGTCAGACTTTTAAATATGTGAATTCAATGAATCCTTAAATACCGAAGTGAGATGAGTGGTGTTAATTTTCCCAGTTTAAAAATGGGGATAACGATAGAGAAAGGCTGTTGTCTGGAGACACAGCCAACAAACTCTTCATTCTCTTTTAGGACGTCTCCCAGGCCGGCTCCTCATCACCCCAATTCACTTTATAGAACCAATTAGATACAGATATGTTTCATATACTAAAACCCCTCATTCTTGCCATATTTGCAGGAAGGGGATGTTATCTAGATAGATAAATTCTGAAATGAGAATTTGAAAATCCCCCACATGTCAGAAGCGATTAGAATATGGAGAAGCCTGTCTGAAGAGGACAGCCTATAACCTGTGGCCACAGACTGGGCTATTTCAAAACTATTTGCTATTTCAAATGTAAGGCAAAGATAAACAAGGAATCAAAGAATTGTGGGATGAATGAATGGTGGAACTGGATGAAGCTAGTAAAACTAAGAGGTCTAGGAAATAAGCAGTTAAACTCAGGTTGAAAGTTGATGTGATGGTGATGGCACATGGGTGATTTGGTGATGGGAAATCCAAGGGGATTGCAACTGAGATGGAAAAAGGCACATAAATAAGTAAAAATAATATAATATATTAATATTATATGTAATATAATATTAATATATTATATAATATATATTAAAACTATAATAATAATAATAATAAAAAAGTTTATGTAAAGCAACATCGGATGGTGCTGGTCACAGGTAGACAGTGGAGCTGCTGACCCAGCAGATTTTCAGACGTCCTGGCACCAAATGGGGCTGCGGGATTGTGTTTGGGACACAAGGAAGAAACATCTTTCCTATTACTGAAAGTTGACCCCAGACCTTAGAGTCAGAACTACACAAGGTCTTCAGTCCCCGGGTCTTCCTGACTGTGGTTCTCCTTCCATTTTACTCTTGGGTGAGGGACTTCAGTAGCCACCAAAACCCCAGGATGGTGTAGGATTGAAACCAGGTCCTGTGATTAAATGGTCAATGTGGCCAAGAATCTGTGCTTAGAAAAGTTGTCAAAGCTTTTCCAGAAAGTTGCAAATGCCAAAAATTGTCCTTCACACATAGGATTCTGGCAGATGTTCTCACAGCTTCCTCCTCGTGCTGGCTCTCCGTGAGACACTGGGTAGTCACTGTGGTGAAGTTTTCTTGATGAAAACTTATATATTGTATATATAATATAAAATATATTGTAGCTTCAATTTTATTCACACCAGGTTGGCACTGAGCTATGCCAGCTTTGATATAGAATGACCAGAATGTAAAAACTGGCCTTCACTCTGTCTGACAAGGTGCTGAGGCCTCAATTGTAAGGAACTTTTTGCAATCTCCAGCCAAGGTGAAATCAGAAAGACTATGTTCACCTTGCTGGAGTTTTAGTGTCTGCTGGGGCCACATTGTTCCAAAATGTTTCATGAAATGCACCTCCCAGGAGAGCATCATGAAAGGGTTTTGTGTGTTGGGGGTTGCTCCATAGTGAAACAGGGGTCACTGCTGGCCACATTTGCCTGTTACATATTCACAGCAAATGATACTAAACATTCTGACATGGTACATTATAAAAAAAAAAACTGTATGCCATTATGGGACCCAGTATTTCCAAACTTTTCAAACGTGGATCTTTTTCCCCATTGGGTCATGTGCGTGTAGCCAACAGATGTGGGCAGATTTGGAGAGATATTGCTCCTCTGTGTAATGTTTTCATTCTTGTTAAAATTTTGCCATTCCACCAATCAGTTGTGAGAGCAGGTATATCTCTATTGAGCTCCTTCGTCACTCTGTGGACTGCAATACAATTTTAGGAAGCATCATTATTTGATAGCTGATTCAAAAGCACTTGGTTTTAGGCAGTATAGTGGACAACAATCTGATCAAGCTTCTCTGGGGCTTTAGTCACATCCCTGGACTTTTCCGAACTCATTCCTCACTGTGACGCAATGCATGAGGCACTGGACAGAGTGCAAGGAAGACCCTCTCTGGCCACAGAGCTGATGCAGGCAGCTTCCTGTGAAGTGGCTGGAGGCCATCTTTGGAAGTGGGCCCCACACAATAGATCTCTCAGATGTAACTAAGTGTTTAACCAAAGTGGACATCTATCCAAAATGTCCACCAGCTGTCCACTAGCCAGCAAAAACATGCACAAGTATAACTTTCTTAATGAAACAGTTCCATGGATCTTTGATGTTAATATTATCCCTCTCCCAAACCTTTTTCTCCAGAACCTAGACCCTGTGCTGTATCACATTCTCTGCTTCACTTGTGTCCAGTCTTTGGTTTCTATTTCTCCTTTGAGGATCATCCCCTCTGTTCAATTACTGTTGCTACTTTCCTGTGCTGTCTCTGATTTTTCTTCTTCCTATGGCAAATTTTTAGATCTTTCCTCCTCAAGATCTCCAGCCCTTCCTTGCTAACAATGATGTTGCCAGCTACAGTCATCACTTAAATGCTTAAATAGGGCTCCCCAGAATTGCTCAACTAGTCTTATTCTTCTGCTATGATATCTACTTTATACTGAGAAAGACACCTGCTCTATTAACACCTGTACTAGACACGATTTCAAGGGTAGTAGATAGTGTGCATGTATTCAACTGAAGTAATTTTGTTTTACTACAAGTTAGCAAGGAAAGGAATTCATGTAAGTCTTTCATAAAAGTGAAAGGGCATACCTTTGAAAAGTGAGGATCATCCTATTATTAATAAGAGCCTTTTCCTCTGTTTTATTCTTTTGTTTGTTTAATTTGAGGCTGTGTCTGACACATTGAACCCAAAATATATTTTCAGAACATTCAGTGATGAAGAATTTATTCCTTTTTATGAATAAACTTTAAATCTTTCTTAAGAACTCTTCCAGATCAAGGATTGGGAAACTTTATGTAAAGGCTAGAGAGTCAATATTTTTGGCATTATCAGATAATAGTCTCTTTTTCAATTACTTGACTTTGATGCCTTGTGCTTTGTAGGCAAAAGAAGACATAGACAATAATTAAACTAATGAGAATGGCTATGTTCCAATAAAACTTTATTTCAGGACACTAAAATTGTAATTTCAACAATCTTCATGTATTATAAATTTTTCTTTTTGCTCCTTTCCCCAACTATTTAACCATGTTAAAAACTATTCTTTGCTCTTGAGGCCTACAAAACAGGTGGCAGGATGAATTTAATCCAGGAGCTGTTGTTTGCCAACCTCTGTTTTAGATGGTGGGAAGATGGTGGACACTGAGAAACAGATGCCATGGAGGCAGGAAAGAGCACAGATGGGGGACTCTGGGAGGTTTCCAACAAACTTCATCAACTGCCAACACTTGAAAAGGATTCGGTTATGGTATGTGTCAATAGGAAAAAATAATTCTGCCACTGGGGTAAATGTCTCTTTCTAACTTCTTCTCTGCCTTTGCACTGCTTCATTTAATTAGTTAACTTACTCATTGAGTTATTCTGCCACTGATTTGTTTATTCATCTATTCAACAAATGTTGACTGAACTGTAGGCGCACCTGAGAGATATAGCATGTTCAGCTCTAGATCAGCACAAAAAGTGAATATTATGATAGAGTGAGTCATAAGTTTTGCTTTCCCAGTGCATATAACAGGTATGCTCACTATACTGTCATCTCTTAAGTATGTGATAGTGCTATGTCTCAGAAAAACGTACATCCCTGAATTAAAGTCACACAGAGAATAGTATAAGCACACACTGTGAAAATCTGGTGCCAGTGGACTTGTTTGGTCTGGAATTGCCACAAACTTAATTTTTAAAAATGCATTATCTGCAAAAAGTAACAGGGTGAAGAACAGAAAGAGGAGGTATAACATGCCCCTATATGTCCAGCATGGTTTTGCGATCTGGGAATATAACAGTGAACAAGACAAAGACCCTGCCTTCACAGAGGCAGTCAGTAAGGGAAACAACCCTTCCTTGTATTTCATCTGGATAAGCACAATAACCCATTAACTAGTCTTGGTCAAAGCCTACCCTGTTCATTTCATCCTCCATACAACTGCCAAATGTGATCTGAAACTCAGATGAAATCAATACTGCATCTTTTATAAGACACAAAATGGTTTTCTACAATGCCTGTAGGTTGTTTCATTCACATATCTTGAGATTACTGATTAGTGTCTTCACAATCTGACCCTATCCTACTTACTATCTGCCTTTTCTCATTATCAAAATGTGTCCTTCAAAGCTTTTGGGGGAAAACATCCTTTCACACGTCAAAATTAGATACTAGGAATACTAACCCACCCCCCTCTAGTAACCACAGTTTTAATCCCCAATTACAAATTTGGCTTTTTAAGATCTACTTGTAGGCGATATCACAAAATAACTGTTTTCCTTTGACTAATCTCATTAAGCATCATCTCCCCAAATTCCATCAGTGTTGTTAAACTGGCAGGAAGTCCTCTCTAATGGCAGAATAGTATTCTACTGTATCTTTTGACTCTAAATTCTTAATTGCCAGCACAGTGCTTTAACATAGTAGGTTCTCAAGAAATCAGATGTGAATGCTGAAGTGTATTGTTTGCTCACTAAGCGAATGAAAGGATTTCATTATAAGCTGGAAGAGCATGAAGTCATATTAAAAAGAAGTAAGAACTTCTTCAGATAACTAAAGAACAGTCAATTCTGGGATTGCCTCAAATCATCCCCCTGTGGATTTAATGATACAAGACAGGAAGGTCGTCCAAGGAAGATCTGTTTTTCACAATATTTATTTTTAGTAGAGTGGAGAGAAGGATGAGAATGTCTAGTAATACTCCTTCACTCTATAACATGACCTCATGAGGCCAGTTCTCTTCTTCAGTGACCAAAATAAACCATGCTAAAGAAATA